ACTTCCTCTCCTGGTGTGTTCATCGCCACTACCTGTATGTATCTGCAGTGGTAAAGCCCTCCCTTCACCTTTCACCCTCAGACCACTGCAAAAGAAAGGGTAGGAGAGAGTACTTACTAGGCAACGAGGTGGAAAAAGTCAGTTGGTCTAGACTCTTGGCTGAAGAATTTGAATCTATTCTTGGATCAGCCAACTTCACAAGTTTTCCATCTGAGGAAGAAAATGCCAAGGTTGCATTGAGTGTTAAGTGTGGCTTTCAGGTCAGCTAGGTTCTCATGATCTTAAAGAAGCAAGTAGGCTTCCTAGAATTCACATTTCCAGAGCCTTAAGAAATCATAAGCTTTCCCTCCCAAGGAGTTGTATAAATCGCAGATGCTTATGTGCTTATATGAAAAGTCTGGCTCCTCCACTCACATTTGTGATCTCTGTTCCATGTCTATGTGAGCCAGGGAGCCAAGCTCAGTTCCTTGCTGGTTTCTGCAAGAAATACATGCACAGTATGCATTTTACATGCTATTAGGAATGTATGGAATATTCTAGAGGTTAGGAGCAGGGTTATGTGACACATTGAGTTGCCTTTTATACCTCATTGGTTCTACAATGATCCCAACCTTCCTCTTTTATCTTCTGGGTCATTCAGCTCATCAGAGCAACCTACAGATCTCTGTTTTTTGACACGCAGTATCGCATATCTAGGATGCTACTCATCTTCACAGCTACCCCAAGCTGGCTGATCCAGAATTTTCACAAGGGCAGTCCTTTGGGTATTATCCTAAAGAGAAATTTTCATAAGAGCTACTAAGTGGAGAAAAAAATCTTCTATTTATCCATCTTGTTTTGAGGAACCCTCCCCCATACTGCCTAATAATCACAGCTTACATTTATTGAGTGCTTGCTAGATACAGATCCCTATGCTAAGTAGACATTAAAATTCACAGCCACTCATAACAAACTGGAAAAGCTAAGAGATGTAGCCAAGCCATTCAACTAGAAAGTGATAGAGCCAGGATTGGAATCCAGAAACCCCAATGCATTTTCCCACCTTTTGCTATACAACATAAGCAAACCAAAATGGTGGCATCCATTCAGGTGCAGCCACAGCACTTGAACACCAGGACAGTCTTGAGCTAAACTACAGAGGATATTTCTTGTTGATGAGAATCATTTCTGAGCCCCAAAGGGTCAGTGGGAAGAGAAAACGTGGCCTCTCTGCTTTCTTTCTCTTATTTCCCATGTCTAGAGTATATGCAATGTCCTGGGCTGCAGAGAGAGACCCTGATGATCCCTAGCAGCTCAAACACCACATATGCCAGCACATCACCTTTCTGAATGCCACCCATCCTGCTGCTGCTGTAGTCTCACAAATTAGGGCGCCCAAGTGAAAGGATGACTCTGATTAAGGATTGGAAAAGCCTGCAACCTTCCCCAGCCCTCTGGGCATTATGAGAGAGTGACCCAGAAAATCGAATGCAGAGAAGGGTCCCGAAATATAGGAGTCTTGTTTGAGGCATAGTAGAATCTATTAGCTTGAGAAATTGGTCTGGAAATCTTATTAAAAGAGACAAATCATTCCACATTCTCTCCAGACTGAAGATATTGGGGATAATAGGCTTTCCCTGATTTGGATCCATGTACCTCATGTCAGGATCACAGCCAAACTCTGGGAACGCTAAATTCAGTGCAGGTGATAAAGGCAATTATTTTTTTAATGGGCAGTTCTGATTAATTCTGGTTTCTCTGACCAACCATAGACCTATTTGTACCAGTCTCTCATTACTGTGAAGGTTGCAAGGCGGAAGAGCCAATGGCAAAGAGAAATGAAGTTCAAATTGTGGATTTGTCATTATTGTACAGCTCAGCAGATGGTTGTCCAGCCATGGAGGCCTCTGTGACCAGCACCCCGACAACACACACATACACACACACACACATACACACACTCAGAGCTCCTTTCTCACTATGCTTGGTTAACCCCCAGTGGAGGTGCCAGGAAAGCAAGGCATCATTGCATTCTGAAGCTTAACCTTGCATACTTATGCTATTTATCAGGGGTGATAAGAAGAATCCTTCAAATTTATATATGATAGCTATTACCATTATTATTTTTGTTGAGTACTGATGGGTTCAATAATGGTATGAATCACTGGAATTTAGTAAATGCTTATTCCATGCCTGGCACTGTGTAAGGGCTTTATTTACATGAATTATGTCCTTTATCCTCAGAACAACCCTATAAAGCAGGGGTTGCCAAACTTTTTCTGTAAAGAGCCAGATAGGAAATATTTCAGGATTTGCAGGCTATATGGTCTTTGTTACAACTACCCAACTCTGTGGGTGAAGCATGAAAGCAATTGTGGACAATACATAAATGAATAAGTGTAGCTGTGTTTTAGCAAAGTTTTATATGCAAAAATAGGCAGCTGGCTGGGTTGGTCTGTGGGCAATAGTATGCCAGCTATTGCTATAAGGTGAATGTTCCTAAGCTAGAACTTGGGGTATCCACAGCTAAGAAGGTGGGAAACATGAGTTTCCATCTCCTACATCCTTCCTGCTCACTGCTCTTCCCTTATAATTCTAGTTCTAGAGGAAGAAAAGAATGAAGATATTTTCACATGTGACTTCTCAGGGTGAGATGGCTGTTCTTCAGCCACAAAGTAGAGAGCAAGCACCCCTTTCAATGAAAACCCTGCATCTGTAGGGGTGTGGGTCACTTCTGTCAATCTAGCCCCCTATTTGCAAGCTTGGGGTAGCCTGAACCCAGGCCCCCCGATGAGACTCAATCCCAAACTGCTCTCAGAAGCCTTGGTGGGTCTGTCTTTGTGAATCTTGGCTATATCTTCAGGGCTACCCCCCAATGAAGGGTCTAACACATGGCCTCTTTCTTCATGTTGGCATGGTCCTCAGTGAGCCAGTGAGCCTGCAGCCCCAATCTTGACTCTCCTCTGTACCCCAGCAATGGGACCTGCAGACCTAGGCAGGGTCCATCGCTGTGCCCCTTGGGAACCAGGAACTGGAGGGAGCATGCCTTGCTCTCCTCTGCAGCCACACACCCCACCGCCTACCACAACATTCTCTCCTCAACTAAAGTTATCTAGTGGCTCAACAGAGACAAAGATACAAGCAGCAAGGTATCCTTTTTTTTTAGATGGAGTCTTGCTCTGTTGCCCAGGCTGGAGTGCAGTGGCATGATCTCAACCCACTGCAACCTCTGTCTCCTGGGTTCAAGTGATTCTCCTGCCTCAGCCTCCTGAGTAGCTAGGATTACAGGTGCCTGACACCATGCCTGGCTTATTTTTGTATTTTTAGTAGAGACAGGATTTCACCATCTTGGCCAAGCTGGTCTTGAACTCCTGACCTCATGATCCACCCACCTCGGCCTCCCAAAATGCTGGGATTACAGGCGTGAGCCACCACACCCAGCCTCCACCTCTTCTTCTCAATGACCCCTGAAGCTTAAAGAATAATTTATGGCCAGGTGTGGTGGTTCACACCTGTAATCCCAGCACTTTGGGAGGCCGAGGTGGGCAGATCATGAGGTCAGGAGATCAAGACCATCCTGGCTAACACGATGAAACTCTGTCTCTACTAAAAAAAAAAAAAAAAAAAAAAAAAAAGAGCCAGTATGATCACACGTGCCTATAGTCCCAACTACTTGGGAGGCTGAGGCAGGAGAATCGCTTGAACCCGGGAGGCAGAGGTTGCAGCGAGCCGAGATAACACCACTGCACTCCAGCCTGGGTAACAGAGACTCCATCTCAAAAAAAAAGATCTTATACTAGGTTTTCTCAGTCTCTGCAGTATGGATATTTGGGGCCACATAACTCTCGGGGGGAGCTAATCTGTGCATTGCAGGATGTTTAGTAACATCCTCTCCTCACTAAATGCCCATAGCAACCCCCAGGTGTGACAATCAAAATGTCTTCAGACATTGCCAGATGTCCCCTAGGAAACAAAACAGCCTCCAACTGAGAACCACTGTCTTAAACTGAAGGTCAATCATTGCCTTTTGCTCTCAGCTGTAGGTTCTAATTTCCAATTCCAGATAAATAGAAAAAATCACAGGCAAGATCTGTTAGCACCATGTGACATTAACTTTCGGTGCAAAGTAAGCATAATTATCCCCACTATACCTATGAGAAAACTGAGGCCTGGGCTGCACAGCTAGTAAGCACCACAGCCCAGATTTGGACCAAGGCTGCCTGAGGTCAAACCCCTATATTTTTTATACTACTTCTGACCTGATCATGAATGAACCCTATGAAGGTTTTCCTGGAATGAGGAAGAGTTTGCCATGATTTGCATGGTGAAAAGAAAACTAGATTGTACTTGCCCTTTCTTTAGCATGTTCTATCTAATCCTGACAGCAGGGCTTAGAGGTAGATATTATTCTCCCCATTTTACAGATGAGGAAACTCAGGTTCAGCAAACCTAACAAATGGTTTGAAATCAGCATAGCAAAGATTTGTAAGCCCAGTGTTTCTGTGCTCAAAGCCTTGATATTTCAACACCAGAAAAAGTGGGTGGCTGCTCCCTAAAGGGGAAACTGAGTCTAATTTCCTATATAATACTCTACCTTTCTGGTCAATGTGTCCTGCCAGCCATAAGAAAAGCTTGGTGATGGCTGGGCGCAGTGGCTCACACCTATAATCCTAGCACTCTGGGAGGCTCAGATGGGTGGATCACTCGAGGTCAGGAGTTCAAGACTAGCCTGGCCAACATGGCAAAACCCCATCTTTACTAAAAATAGTCAGGCATGGTGGCAGGCGCCTATAATCCCAGCTACTCAGGAGGCTGAGACAGGAGAATCACTTGAACCTGGGAGGCAGAAGTTGCAATGAGCCGAGATTGTGCCACTGCATTCCAGGTTGGGCAACAAAAAAAAAAAAAAAAAAAAAAAAAAAAAAAAAACCGAAAAGAAAGAAAAGCTTGTTGATACATAAGACTTTGATACCCACCCTCTTGCCTTTGACCTCCTTCTGTGACCTCTTTCCTTATCCCAGTTCTGTATGCAGTACTGGCCTGAGAAGACCTCCGGGTGCTACGGGCCCATCCAGGTGGAGTTCGTCTCCGCAGACATCGACGAGGACATCATCCACAGAATATTCCGCATCTGTAACATGGCCCGGGTAAGTGCATGGCCACCATTGCTTGCTGAGCCCCTCCTCCCCAAGACAGATGGAGGCTGCTGAGAGAGGATCCCGCTGAGCCAGCCAAGAGTCTGTGTTGTGCTCTCCTGATAATTTCTTCCTTGAGGAAGTGATGCCTGTGCTGATTCCGGCTCCAGACTCAGCAATGACTTCAACACATAGAGATGCAATGAGCGACATCCAACTTGCCATCTGCCTGTTTCCTGACACACTTGCTGCCGTGTAGACAAAACTTCTTAGACATTAGATCTTCCCCACTGTGTCTCTGTACTGGCATGAGTTGATGCAGCCTTTGATTGGATCCCATAAGCTTTGGGACAGGCACTGCCAACACCTAGATGAAAAGTGATTACTTACTTCCATGAGGATATTCACTGGCTGAGCAGAGTAGTGGGTGGGAGGGGCAGATTAGCAATCTATGAAATGGTTGCTAACACAGTTTTGGTCACTACTTGGGGCCCAGGATGAAAGGAGCTCAGCACCTCCCCTGCCCCTCAGCTCAGAGTTCATTGTCTATTGAGAAAGTGAGACATGTTCTGGCACATGAGCCTCAGGGAGAAAGAACTCTGCCCAACAGTCAGGGAAGGCTTTCCTAAAGAAAGGGACATTTAAATTGGGTTTTGAAGGCTGAGTAGGAGTTTTTTAGGTACAAAAGGGGGTCAGGGCAGTCACGGCAAGAGAATCTGTGTGTACGAAGGAATAGAAGTAGTCATGGGGACTCTCCCCATGAGGACATGGCTTAGATCCCGCTTGGTCTGTCTTCCACTATGATGCTGCAATCCCCAGGGTATCTTCAAGTTGCGTGTCCCCAAGCATCCCCACCAGAACAGCCCTAACAGCCTCTCTGTTCTCAGCCACAGGACGGTTATCGTATAGTCCAGCACCTCCAGTACATTGGCTGGCCTGCCTACCGGGACACGCCCCCCTCCAAGCGCTCTCTGCTCAAAGTGGTCCGACGACTGGAGAAGTGGCAGGAGCAGTATGACGGGAGGGAGGGACGCACTGTGGTCCACTGCCTGTGAGTACTAGGGAGGTGTCACCAGGGCAATAGGATGGTGGGTGATAAAGCATCCTTGCAGATGCTGCTGGCCACATACACCAGTCCTAGGCAGGCCTGGCTATACCACAACTCAACATCCCTCAAAGGCTAGTGGCAGTGCACTCAAAGGAATTATGATCCTTTAATGGAACAGGGCTGCCAGTTTGTTGTCCTGAACTAATATATGGCATATGATTGATGCAAAACCTGGTAGTCTTTCCACAAACATGAGAGGAGGTGGCAGACCATGTTCCAACGCTTGCAATAATAAGGTGAGCCCCATTTTCCAATAAGAGGCATGATATGCCCTGATAGTCACAAGAAAACCCAGGACAAAGTGGGTTCCACTGACCAGAACCTCCTTTGTTATTTCCCGAGGAAGAAGAAGGAGAGAAAAGGGAAGGTGTTGATTATGAGAGCTTAATTTAATCCAGACATTTTAAATGAATCATCTCTATCCATTTGTGAAGTAGATAATTATCATTTTGTAGTGAGAAAACTGAGGTGCAGGCAGGGTAAGGTCATCAGGAATCAAGGGTGGGGCTATGGCTTGCATTCCCTGGCCTCTAAGCTAATGCGCCATTGATTAACCCACACTGTCTCTGAGTAAACCAAAGGACTTGTCTACTATGCCTACTTCTCTACGATGGGTTTAGAGGGATCACAGGACAAAAAGAGCATGAGGGAAAGGCACTGCCCTGAGGGACTGATAGACAGATGTGAAGGACTCTGGGAACACTATTGCACAGGGGCACAGTGAGCTCCAGACCAGCTGTGTTTATACCCCCATTGCTGGGGTGAACTGCAGACTTTACCTCCTGTCTTTGAATGGACATTGTCCAGTCTAATGAATTCCGATGTCATTACGTGGGGTGGAGGTCAGGACCTCGAGAGGACAGTGGCTGACAAAGGGTCCAATGTCAAGAAAATCACTGAATTTTATAAGCCTCAGTTTCCTCATCTGTTCAATGGGTATGTGGAATTAGACAATCTTCAGACCTTATAGTGCTTTGGCATGAAATAGAAAGTAAACACACTTTATCTGCCAACATGACCAAGAATGTCATGGTAGCAAATATGCAAATGTTGTCAATGTAATTACTTAAAAGAGCAAGTGTCACAGAACCTATCCTAGGAGTACAGAGTGACCACAGAGGGTTCTACGAAGTCTCACACCCAAAACAAATCTGCAGCCATAACAGCTATGTGTGAAATATTTGATTCACAGTCACTCACTTTGCTTCTTAGAACTTCAACGATTTGAGGAAAAGTCATTGAGAAGGCCTCTCTCTTTAAAAATGTTATGTTAAAGGAAATTTGAACCAAGGTCTTCTCTTTCTCAGAACAAATATTTCTGGAGCTAGCGGAGGCACTGATAATATCTGACTGACCTCAGAATTGAGGTCAATCTTTTCAAAACCAGCTAATTATTCTCCCTCTCAAACAGGTGGTGCATGCACATGTTAGGAAAGTCAGAGAGCTTAAAGGAGGTTAAACATACAGACACATAGAGATGCACACACAGAGCTTCAGGGCCACCACCTGCAGCAGATATTCCTTTCCAGAGGAAGCAAATCTCAGGCTAGAGTTCAGGAAGACACTACGTGGTGTCCCAAGTCAGGTTGATGGGTGGCATCAGCCAAGCCCAGGTGGCTCTGCCCACATCCCAGAAACTAGCAGCTGGTTTCCTGCCAGCTAATCCCTGCTGCCTCCAGATGCCCAGATGCCTCCCATACATTCAGGTGACCTTATCTTAGCACCCATCTTTCAGGGTCTCAGACCACCAGGCCCTGAGACCCTGTGCCTACTCACCTCTTCCCTTTGGACACTGTTATTCTTGCTTCAGAAATGATAGAATCTTCTTTCGCAGGAGACCTTACTCTCTCTCTCTCTCTCTCTCTCATGTTTGTTTTTTAGCCTGTTTTTGTTTTGTTTTTGTTTTCATTTGCAGTAGTGTCTTTTTATCTATGTCCTTTCCAGCCAAGGTGGCCCGTAGTTTGAACCAAAGGAAGGTACAGGGACATTCTTCTACCAACAGGGACCTTGGTTTCCTCAAGAGTCACAGACACCATAACAGACCCTGAAATGCAGGCACCAGCCAGGGAATGGAAAGCAACTCTCTGTACTTGAAACATCTGGTCACTGCGTATCCTGTAGATAAAACATCTGGGAGATTGACTGAGTGCCTTAGTTTCTGTCCAGATGTTCTTTAGACACAGACCATTACATGAAATCATTAGTTGCTCTTGGCAACACGCCCAGGAGTTCTGAATCAGGCATATTCCTACAGGGACTCTCTGTAAAGAGTTTGAAGGGTGTTTCCATGAAGATGACTTATGGAATTTCAGAAAGGAATAACAGACATAGCTCTGCCACCAACCTTCTATCCCTAGACTCAAGATCAGTAGCATCTTGCTTAAACCAAGGTGTATAGTAGACATCTGTCATTTTAAGATAAAGCCTATCAGGCCCAGTTCCTCCCTCCAAGTTCCTACCTCCAAGCTTGGGCTGGCTGACCCTAGGCTAACAGAGTATTGCTGTCCTTAGTGGAGGATGGGAAGAACTAGTAGGAAAATCACTTGGAAATTTTCATTGTCTTTATTGGATGTTTAAGTGGACCCACAGCATCCTTTTGGACATGGATGCAAGCATCAGCAAGGATGCAGGTGTCACATGTACAAAGACACAGTACTGTCCTGCCCTTGGCGTTTGGGTGAGTGTGCCCCGAGTGACTGTAACATGCTCATAGAACCAAGAAACGTCAAGCTAATTGAACTTTCAAAGGTCATCTAGTCCAACCCCTTCATTATATGAGTGAGGAACTTGGGGCCCAGACAGAGGAAGTGACTTGCCCAAGGTCAAAGGAAGTTAATGGCACAGAGTCAAACCATAACTCATGGCTCAGGCTAAAGCCTGCACCATTCATTGCCTTGCCTTGTATCTGCCCAGGCAGCTGATCCCTATTCCTACTGATGTACCTTTAGAATCATCAGGTGCCTGGAATGGACCTAGGAACATGGCTCACCTCTTTGCTCTGTGTTTAGAAACGGGGGAGGCCGTAGTGGAACCTTCTGTGCCATCTGCAGTGTGTGTGAGATGATCCAGCAGCAAAACATCATTGACGTGTTCCACATCGTGAAAACACTGCGTAACAACAAATCCAACATGGTGGAGACCCTGGTGAGTATCCCAAGGACTGTTCTCCAACAGCCAGGGGCTGACTAGTTCCCTTGACCTGGAGAAAATGACATCAAATAGTAAAATCACTCAACAGCTGGCTGCTGATTATATACCTGCAGTCTGTGCCCTTGATATGCACCATTATCTGCCCTGTGTCTTCCCCTTCCAACCTCCCCAACTTTTCTTTCTTGCAGGAAAATCCAATTATTAATCCTGCTACACCTACTTTGCTTCACTTTCTGCCCATTCCTTAAGACAGTGTCGTTAATTCAGGCTTAAAGGAACGGATTCTGGATTAGTAGAATGTGAAGTATGCTTTCACTTCTGTCTAATTATATTCCAATTAATTTATGCTAATTTTTACAATAGAGAGCATTTGCAGTAGAGAGCACTGTGGAGGAAAGTGCGGCAAAGAGGGTGTGCGGGCCGAGCCCCAGATGGTACGACCCGGCCGGTACCATGCTGGGCCACTGCACCATGCACGAGGAGCTTTAATATGTCTTTAAACCTACTCCAGGTGTGGTCTTGGTCAAAATGAGGCCCTATTAGCACGTGGGTCACAGACCAGCAGCAGCATCATTACCTGGGAGCTTGTTAGAAATGCAGAATCTTGCGCCCCACTCCAGATTTACTGAATCAGAATGTGCATTTTAAAAAGATTTCTGGCTGCCTTGTATGCACATTACAGTTTGAGAAGCACTGTTGTGCAAAACAGTAAAAAAGAAAGGGAATGATGCCAGCTGGGCATTCGAGGAAGCCTGGGTAGAAGCAGCCGTCAAGCGGAATTTTGAAGGATGTCCAGATAGGGGTAATTTTGAGTTGACATAATGTGGATGTAGATAAAGTTTTCTCCAAACTCTGTATCTCTAAACTAAATGCATTTTCCCTTTCCTTTTTCATCTCTCTTGTCTCCTCTTCTCCCTCTCTGCCTCTCCTCCTCTCCGCCTCTCAGGAACAGTATAAATTTGTATACGAGGTGGCACTGGAATACTTAAGCTCCTTTTAGCTCAATGGGATGGGGAACCTGCCGGAGTCCAGAGGCTGCTGTGACCAAGCCCCCTTTTGTGTGAATGGCAGTAACTGGGCTCAGGGGCTCCGAGGTGGTGGCACCCTGCCTGACTCCAAGGAGAAGACTGGTGGCCCTGTGTTCCACGGGGGGCTCTGCACCTTCTGAGGGGTCTCCTGTTGCTGTGGGAGATGCTGCTCCAAAAGGCCCAGGCTTCCTTTTCAACCTAACCAGCCACAGCCACGGGCCCAAGCAGAAGTGCACCCACAAGCAAGGCCTTGGATTTCTGGCTCCCAGACCTCCTGCTTTTGTTCTGAGTTTGTGGATCTTGTGGCAAGCCGACTGTGCAGGTGCTGGGGAATGGGAAGCTCCCCTGCCTTCCTTCTCCTTGGGAGTGGAGGAGATGTGTGTTCTGCTCCTCCATGTCATGGAAAAGATTGGGGCTCTTGGGGGTCACTGCTCTGCTGCCCCCTGCAACCTCCTTCAGGGGCCTCTGGCACCAGACATTTGCAGTCTGGACCAGTGTGACCTTACAATGTTCCCTAAGTCACGAGAGAGGCCTCCATCCTCACACCTAACCTGCATGGGGCTTGGCCCACAACCATTCTGTACCCCTTCCCCAGCCTGGGCCTTGACTGTCCAGCATTCACTGGCCGGCCAGCTGTGTCCACAGCACTCTTTGATAAAGGTGTTCTTTGCTTTTTTGTGTGGTCAGTGGGAGAGGGTGGAACTGCAGGGAACTTCTCTGCTCCTCCTTGTCTTTGTAAAAAGGGACCACCTCCCTGGGGCAGGGCTCAGGCTGACCTGTAGGATGTAACCTGTGTGTCTCTTTGGTGGTAGCTTTCTTTGGAAGAGACAAACAAGATCTGATTATTTTCCAAAGTGTATGTGAAAAGAAACTTTCTTTTGAGGGGTGTAAAATCTTAGTCTCTTATGTCAAAAAGAAGGGGGCAGGGGAGTTTCAGTGTGTACCTCTAAGACAAATCTCTCGGGCCTTTTATTTTTTCCTGGCAATGTCCTTAAAAGCTCCCACCCTGGGACAGCATGCCACTGAGCAAGGGAGAGATGGGCGAGCCTGAAGATGGTCCCTTTGGTTTCTGGGGCAGATAGAGCACCAGCTTTGGGCATAATTTGGCTCTCCAAATTTGAACTCCTTCCTAAAGAAACCCAGCAGCCACCTTGAAAAAGGCCATTGTGGAGCCCATTATACTTTGATTTAAAATAGGTCAAGAGAATCAGGCCCGGAGATCTAGGGTCTTGTCCAAAGTGTGAGTCAGTGAGAGGGAACCAACATTTGCTAAGTCTCTACTGTATGCCAGGGATCATGCTTGGCACTTTCCACAGGACATTCCACTCAGTCCTTAGAACCCCCAGGAGAGAGCTACTGGCTTGTTACCATCCCCATTTGATCATCTCCTCCAATGAGGAAACCCAGGCGCCTTCCTCAGTGATGAAATCCTGGGTTCCAAAGGGGCAGGTAATGGCAGTGAGACTTCTCTGTGCTGTTTTTCTCATGTTCTCTAAGTCAAGCAATTATTTTATGGAGGGAAAATAAGGCCAGAAACTTCTGAGCAGAGAACTCCTCTACAAATGGAAATTTAGTACTTTCTTCCTGATGCCAGTTCTTCTGGGAAGCCCAGAATTTCATATATATTTTAGTAACACATTCCCAGCTCCCCAGGAAAGCCAGTCTCATCTAATTTCTTAGTCAGTAAAAACAATTCCCTGTTCCCTCAGGCTATGAAGGGACCAGCCAGGGACACTCTCGATCTTGATCTCTAGCCAGTGCTTAGGCCCAGTATCTGACAGCCTCAGGTGGGCTGGGACTGAGGAAGCTCCATCTTGAAGGCTGGTCTAGCCCCAGACAGGGCATGAGGGGCAGAGAACCCAAGAAGGCACAGCTTTGGCCCTCAGGAGCCCACTGTATGCTGGGGAAATTGAACCACGGTGCAGTAGTGTGGAGGGGATGAGTGTTCCATGAGCCTAGGAGCAAGAAAGTCTCTTTGGCCTAGGGCTTCCTGGAGAAGGGGACATCCGTTCCTGCTGGGTCTTAACAGGTAGAAAAAGGAAAAAAAGGAAACTCAGGCAAAGGGATCCATATGTGCAATAGCAAAGAAATGTGAAAAGGAATCAGGAGGAGCAGTCCAGGGGAGGCCAGCCCAGTGCAGGCACAGCACAACAGGTGGAGCAGCAGGGATGAGCCAGGGTCCAGGAGAGAGAGGCCCATCGCGAGTGCAGACTTTGTCCTATTGGCAACAAGGAGTCCACGGAGCTTTAGAGAGATGTACTCAGCTTCGTGTTGGCAAAGACTCCCTCTGACCAATGGGGCTGCCTCTTTTACTTTCATCAGACACTGTGAAAACATTCCCTTAAGTGTGTACTTTTTAATATCACATCTCTTTGTCTGTCTGCTCACTGTTTTGTTGCTGGAACTAAATATGCAGTGGATCATGAGACTCGGATTCTATGAGAAACCCAGGGTCTCTGCTTTACCATGGAGCAGGGTCACCAACCCAGATCTCCAGGCCCATGAGGATGGAACATGAAAGGAGCCCACAAAAGTGGCTTCCATTGACATGGGCTCTGGAGCTGTCTAGAAGTCCAGGGACACCAGACTTGATCAAGGAAGGGCTGTCACTTTAGAGGTTCAAAAGGAAGTGCCTCAAAGCAAAGGCAAGCAAAGGAACCCCACGATGAATTTGCTCTTTTCCTTTGATGAGCCTCTCCCCAGGTGTATTTCAGCAGACCCCGGGGACCCACCCACACTGGGCCTGCTGGCCTCCCTTGGCTCCAGCCCACTGCCCCAGCTGGCCTTCCCCAGCCTGCAAGGAGCGTGGAGCATGGGAGATTCACCTGCTGTAGGCTATTTTCTCAGATCTTGGTACATCCAGACAGGATGAGGGTGGAGGGAGAGCTATTTAACACAAATCCTAAGATTTTTTTTCTGCTCAGGAAGGGGTGTAATAGCTGGCAGATAAACATGACAGCAGTTTCTATCATTTTAAATGGTAGGAATTTAAAGTGTGACTTCAAGAAGGAAAAAACTTGTAAAAAAAAAAAATATATATATATATATATATATATCAGGCCATGGTGGGGTAACCCAGCAAGGACTAGTGATGATTCCCCCAGCTCATCCCCTTGTTTTCCCACAACCCAACCATTCTCCAAAGAAAGCAGGGCAGTGAATAGGTCTTAAGCCAGTGCACACAGGAAGAAATTGAGACTCACAGATGGGGATGACTTCCTAAGATCCCATGGGACAAGGATGTGGCAAGGCTTGGATGAGATGGGGCACCGGTGCCCAGGAATTTGAATATTTTCCTTTACCCAGGAAATCTCTGGAATCAACACCACCTCCCCCAGGGGATCTCCCCACCCCACCCCATTTACAGGGTGAGCTCAGCCTGTCGTGAGCAGAGGAAAATATTATTAGTGCTCTCTGAGTCTTTACAACAGGAGCTCTTACCTCATAGATGTGAACCCTATTTGGAGAAGATACAAGGAAGTAATGAGAAGCCCAGGAACTTTCTCCACTTGTGTGTGTTTATGGCCTAGATAGCTACAGGATGTATCTTAGCTGCACTCCAACATTGCATCCTTTCTGGGGTGAAGAATCTGGGCCAACCAGGGGCCCTTGGGTCTCTAGAAGGCCACAGTAGGCCTTTGTGGGAATGGAAAGGGACAGCTTGCTTTTAGTGCTGGCCCTCTCTATGGGTGTGGCCTGCAAAGGAACCAACAGACCCTATGCTGGGGACTGTAATGTGTGAGCTCATTAAATTCTTCCAACATTGTAAAGGAGGGTTTGTGATTGTCACCATTTTACTGATGAGGAAAGTAAGGCTCCTAGGGGAGAAATCACTTGCCCACAGTTCCATAGCTAGTGAGTGAAAGAACCAGGATTTAAACTGGTTTTTTCTCACTACAGAAACTATTTTTCCACCATTGTATCTCACATTTTTCCCAGGAGGTTATCCATAACAGAAGAGACTAGAGTGGAACAGCTATCTCAGTGGATACAGCTCAAAGCAAACAACAGTAAGCTTAAAATTCCTTCATAGTCTCATGTTTTACTTTAACAATTCATGCAAAATTTGCATTCCACTTTCTGATTTAGCCTGGTTGGTTTTAATATGACTGTATGAATATTTCAAAAAAAAAATGTGCTCTGTTTCTCATGTTGTTCTGTTCTGTTCACCTCACTATGACGGACCCTGGGTCAGCTGGTCTTGAGCTTCACCCTAGAATTGACTCTAGGAGCAGTGACCCTGCTGCCTCCCAGAGCCAATTATAGGCAAGATCAAGACCAACTGACCTTCTCCTAGGCAGCTCCTTTGGTGTGCAGATGCTCTGACCTCACTGTTCATGAGTGGACCTCAACTAAGGTATCTTCCAGTTGGGTGCTGGAAGGAACCCATTGACTCACACTAGAATGATGAGGATTTGCTCATCTGGCGTGGAGAAGGATGAGCCCACAAAACCCTAAAAGGAAAGGAGAGGCTGGACACAGCTGTACTCAGCAGATTCCTGAATGCTAGGCTGGAAAGTGGTGCCTGTTGTTCAAGTGGAGTCACATGGTTGCTAATGTGGGCAAGTCTGAGGACACACTTCATGAGCAGCTGGGGTCTGGAAGGCTCCTCGCTTTACCCTGGCCACATATACTTACTGGTTGCCTAGAGCACGTAGCACCTTGGAGAGAGCACTATTAGGAAACCAAGATTACTGTGGCACAATTAATTCCTGGGTAAGGCATGGGGTTGTGGTAGACAGAGCTCAGTCTTTAGTTTGAATCCCAACCCTGCCATTTCTTGGCCATAGAGTGTTGGGCCAACCAATTAATGTAAAGACATACATGAAAAAAAGGACCCTCATTAACATTAGAAGGGGTAGATTCAGAGCACTTTAGGCAGGAAAACAGGAAGGCAAGGCCAGGAAACTGGAACCCAATGAATACTCAGAACCAAGGATGCAGATGACTTATTTAGCGAAGTGGTCACTTCTGTGACATAGCTGGACAAAGGATGGGTAACAGCTTGGCAGAGCCAGTTGGAGCAAGGGCAAATCTCAGTGTCTGGGGCAAAAGATGATGAATTTCCCTCTGACCCATCATGTTTATTCATCTTCCACTCCCCATTGCCACACTAGCTCTTGCTGTATGTCCTCAGCAGGATCTACATTCCCTCGGCGCTGGTGGGAACCCCTTAGAGTACATAGAGGTGTCAGTCCAGTAAGACTGCTCTACACAACAGAAGTGAGGCCCAGGGAATAGCAACCAGGCCCTTATCCTGTTATGTCTGCAGGAGTGACTACCCTACCCAGATCCAGAGACACTGAAGGAAATGATAATTCCCTGGTACCTCACTGCCTCGGGACAGAATGAAGAAAGCCACCCTTCCTTAGGCTGCAGCTGGCCACTGCTGGGCTGGGTAAACAGGTCATCAGCACCAAGCTAAATCAGGAGTAACACTATGGAAGACATGGGTGAGCCCAAGAGGAAGCATGAACACGATACTGGTCCTAAGTCATGTCAACAGGTTGTGCTGGGCCAGGATCCCCAGGGGAAAAAAAAATGGTCAACCCAACTGGAGGGTAGAAGAAAAAAAAACATAAACATGGATAGTCATGTCATCTCAAATCCCTGACTTGCCTTCCTCATTACTTAACAGTGTGAGCTCCTTCTCACTCTATGACCAGCTTCGAATCACAGCCAAGTAAAACAAGGAAATAGGAAAAGTAAATCCAACTAGAAGAGACAAGCTGATATTCAGATTTGTTCACTCCTCCCAGGCAAGGGCTCTCTGTTGGAGGTTTTCCATGTATACATGTCTAGAAGTGATAGAATGCAAGACCTTGGCTTCCTCTTGCAGGGATCTGCCTTTGAGGTCATAGACTGTCTGAACAACAGGGAGACAGGTTAGTGGTGGAGCGTGGGGGGAGCTGTTCTAGCCCCAGTTTCTTCTGACACATTTTTCAGGATCATGGATCTGATCCTCAGAAGCACAGGAAAGACATCTAAGCCATATTTGTGCACATGAGCAGACTCTTCTAGATTTTTAGTAACTAGGGATGGGCTTTTGCATGGCACTGACTATACAGTTGTCTTGTAGAGATCAAGCCAGTCTTTTGCATCCCACCTCCAGAAAAGATGGGAAAAGGTCATCAAAGGGGCTACATTCACCAACTGAAATCCACCCATGAATGTTAGGTCTCTAAAAGGAGGCATCAGCACTCACAATGGTAGCCTCCAAACCTAGCATCCCACCTATCTAAGAGCTCAGTGGTGGTCCAGTGGGACAGATACAAGGGAAGTAAAAGGGCTCAGGATGAAAGAGAATCTGTTGGGAATACTTTTAGGGGCTGGATCGTTACGGGGCTTCCTTCTGTATCTGAGAACTGCTCTGGGTGGTGGGATGTGGACTCTGATCCTTGATTGGAATGTTCAGAGAATGAGTGTCTGGTGGCCTTGAAGTGTTGGACATAAAAGTATCAGTATGAAAGCCTGGAGCTCAGGGTGATTAATGAAGTTCATGGTTCCTTAGTGAGCAGGACTCTTGGATGTAGAGGAGAAAGGGTCATAGGAAGTAACCCGCCAAAATTACAAATTGAGTCTCTGTACAATTACTTCAGTGCCTTTGGGTTTATGAATACAAATCAGTGGACCTTCTCTATGATGGTCCAACAAACTCTCAGTGCCCACCCTGTCACTGTATCTCCCATGGAAGATGAATACTGTCAGGTGTTCTTTGGGTCAAAGCCCCCAGGGCAGTCTGGAGGCTCAGAGGGCAAAGTGGTGTCATTCCATGTAAAATCAGGCTTCTGAGGCATCAGGCAGAATATGGTATCCATATACTCCATAGGTCTGCAGATTCTTGGATGAAGTCAAGCACAGTTTGCTAGACCCAGGTCACTCCTCTGAGTATAACTAGGACCCATAAGTGAAACTTAATAGCTGTAAGGAAGACCTGCTGTCTGCCAGAGAGGATAAGCTGCCCATCTCGGCAGCTGTCTAATAAATGCCAGGTGTCTCTTTAAAGGGAAGAGGAGCATTGCTGAAATGGATTTCAGGTCACTTCCATTCTAGATGGGTGAGATTTTGTGGAGCTGGGATCACATTTGAACTCATTCATACCTGTAGAGCACAAATCCAAGTAGAGTGTGTTTGGTCTGTACAGGTTGAAGCCTCCTGCTCCCCCATCCAAGTCTCCTCACTGAGCAGGCCAACATGCTGTTGTGGCTGCATATACTGGGCTGATCCATTCTGGTTATCACCAAACAGCAAACCATAGGGAACAGCCGCTTTGCCATAGACCCAATACCCATGTAGATCTCTGATGAGAGCAGCCATAACTCAGACCCACTGACCAACAGGGCCATGAGTGACAGCCAGAACCAGTGAAGGTCCAAGCAGGACACAGACCAGGGCTTTGCTTGCCATATACATTATCTCCAGAGGTTATTTCTACCCCACTCCCTATTCAAGGCCTGTTGGAGCAGATTGCAAAAGCAAAAGCACAGTAACTCAATTTACACATGATTACAATCATTTCCAGTGCACACATTTCATCACCAGGTGGATCCTGAGCTAGCCCATGTAAATCCAGGTTAACCCACATTGGTAATCAGACTCAAAAGCACTTTTCACCCTACATTCTACTAGCCAATCAAAGACAAAGAGTTGTGGCCTCTACCATTGCCTTGGCTTCTGAACACCCTCACAGGCTATCCCAAGGTTCCCGCTCAACTCCAGGGAGGCTGACATCTTCACATCCACTGGGCATATGATATTGCATGAGACCAAAGTCTCCACATTGTTTGCAGCCTCCTCCATGAATCCCAATGGCCTGCACTTGTACAGTTTGGGTATTTGATAGATAAAGCACGTATGAGAAGAGAAAACAAAATAAATCAACTTTTTAAAAAAGCCAGCACTGTGCTGTCAATGTTTTTTTTTTCTTTTCAATTCTAGCTTATAAAAGCAGAAGGTAAATAATGTCAGGTCAATGAATATCAGATATATTTTTTGACTGTACATTACAGTGAAGTGTAATCTTTTTACACCTGCAAGTCCATCTTATTTATTCTTGTAAATGTTCCCTGACAATGTTTGTAATATGGCTGTGTTAAAAAATCTATACAATAAAGCTGTGACCCTGAGATTCATGTTTTCCTAAGATATTCGTACTGGTGTCTTCCTGAGGTTGGGTAGGGATGAGGTGGGGACAAGCTGAAGGAGGAGGAGAAAAAAAATATTATCAGCTAGGTTTCTTTATATTTAAGTTAATCTTTACATCACAGGAAATACGTATTATTCCCTCTTTGCAGATGAAAAAGTTGAGGCTCAGAAATATCAGGGGATTTTCCATGACTGCACATTGAGCTAGTAAAAGGGTTGGGTGTAAAGTGGTGTTTCTCAAGTGTGGTTCATAGAGCACTGGCATCAGAATCACTGTGAAGTTTGTTACACATACAGATTCCTAAGCCCAGAGAATCACAATTTCAGGGTCTGCATTGCTAACAAGTTGCCTAAATGTATCAGCTAGCTATGGCTGCATAATAAACCACCCAAAACTCAGTAACTTGAAACAAAAATATTATTTGATAGCAGCCACCTAAGACTCAACTGATCTAGGCTGAGCTCAGCTAATCTCAGCTAGGCTCATTCACGTGTTGGCTAAGGGCTCCATTCTAGGCAAGGCTTCGCTGGGGCATGTGAACTGTTATATCCCTGCACCTTATTTTCTTTACCCTCCTCCTGGCACCAAGGAGGTAGCCTGTGCATATGCTCCTCATGATAATAGCAGGAGCATGAGAGAATGTCCAATCACGTATATATTTTGCCATGCCTTTGCTGGAATCATATCTGCAACATCCCCTTGGACAAAGCTAGTTACATGGAATACTCAGAATCAAGGGGCAGGGATTCTGCTTCTTGACATAGACCCCTCTTCTCAATTTTCCAGAAAATGCTGAGCTGGTTGGCCAGGCACGGCGGCTCACACCTGTTATCTCTGCACTTTGGAAGACCAAAGTGGGAGATTAGTTAGGCCCATGAGTTCAAGACCAGCCTGGGCACATAATGAGACCATATCTCTACAAAAAGTTCAAACAAATTAGCCAGGCGTGGTGGCACACACCTGTAAGTCCCAGTTACTCAGGAGGCTGAGGTGAGTGGATTGCCTGAGCCTGGGAAGTTGAGGCTGCAGCAAGCTGAGACTGCACCACTGCAGTCCACCCTGGGCAACAGAGTGATGCCTTGTCTCAAAAGAAAAAACAAAAACGCTGAGCTTAGGTATGAAACCAATGGTGCCTGATGCACACTTTAACACTATAATCTCAGAGTGTAATCCATGGGTCACCTACATCATTACACCAGGGAAACTACTCAACATATAGAGTCTGATTCAATAGGTCCAGGATAGCAGCTAGGAATCTACATGTTCAGCAAGTGCCCCAGGTGATTGTAAAACATGCTAAAATTAGGCAAGCACTATTTTTAATGCTGTTGTTATTAGAGGGGAACAGATACGAGCCCAAAAGGAACTGGGACAAACCAATGCTCAAACTGGGACATGAGGCTGCCAACCTCTCAGTTGGATGTATATGTCCTCTATTTTCTTCTGGATGAGCAGAAGAAATAACTAGAACCTGACTCCTTGGAGTTTACTGGTTCCCAAATTCTTTGTATGTGTCCAGATACAGCCTGAGCTGGAAACGCAAGCTGTGGGGGTGGAGCGCAGGGTTCACCTTGTTCTCTTGCAGCCTTGGGAACCCTGGCAGAGCTCTTCTGCCTGAGGAACTTAGATGGCTCACCAGGCCTCCCAGGCCACAGAGTCTAGAGAACATGTGCTTCCCAGCTTGGGTACGATGTGGAGAACCTGGTGTCCAGCCGGCTAATTATCTTGTCACCTTGTCCTCGGTCATATTAATCTCACTTAGTCTGCCTGCTACATTTATTCTTTGGCCACAAATGTAATATATGACACTGGCGAAAGAAAACTAGAAAGAAGGAAAAAAATCTTAAATAACTCCTACTTAAAAAAAAATACTTTAGGACATATCATTTTTCCCCAAAATGGAAATTGCTTTTAAAGTGTTATGATAAAAGTAGCACATACTCACTTGAAAGGACTCAATATAAAATTATTTAAGGCAAAAGGTGAAAGTTCCCACTTCTCAAAGGTACCTGTTAATATTTTTATGCCATTCCAGACCTTTCTATGCATAAACATACACATTTTCTACGTAGGTGGTATCAACCAATATATACTCTGAGACCTGCTTCTTCTCACTTAACAGCATACAGTTGTCATATTTCCATGGAAATATGCTTAAATAAATATCCCTTATCTTCCTTGACATCCCCATAGTACCCCTGAACTTGAAGCTAAGCTATTTTGGGTGCTTCAAGTCCTGTGTTCTCACAGTAATACTAAGGATCAACGTTATCTGTGAGGGACATCCCACCCTATGTGCTGCCATCCTGGAGCGAGACTGATAATAGTGGCACAGCTCTCTTTATATGTCTGTTGGCTGTCCAGGTAGGTCCTAGCCTGGCCTTCCTGTGTGGCTAGACCTGGAGTGTGAGCCCATGTCAGACCTAGGAGCACCTTGATTGGTAGCTCTGGTTTGATTTAAGATCTTCCTTTAATTCCAAAGGCTCAAGCCTTCCGTCAGAACTCCAGGGGACCTAGAAGCCCTCAGATTCCTGGAGACACGGGATAAGGTCAACAACATACCATGCAGAAGCCAAGAAGAGGGATTTGATTCCCTCTGACAGGGTTTGCAGGTGGCAAGAAGAAAAGAATAGGAATAGAAGCAGAAGCAGCTGGTGAGATAAAGAAACCACACTAGTTAATTTCAGAAATTTTTTGACCACTTAATCTCTAGGATATGCAACAAGACTCAACAAAGGCTTGGCCTGAGTGGCTTTCTCTTGAAATTTAATGCAAGGACTGAGCCTGGACTCATCATTGACATGCAGTAGAGACATGGCACCCACAGGGAGATGATACTCACAAACTGAACAACTGGAGACAGAGAAGAGCATGGGATTATAACCCCCTGGAAATTAACATAAACTGAGGAGGGCATCAGTTTTCCCAGTCTATTGAAAAGGCATTAGAACAAAATTTAACTAGTTATTCAAGGACATTTGGAGTACAGGAATAGAGAAATATACAGAGAAGTACAGATGCATAGAGAAACTAAATTGAATATATAAATGTAAGAAAAACTACACCAGTATATTAACAGTGGTTATCTTTCATCATAGGGAACACAAGTAATTTTTGTTCTTTATAATTTTCTATATTTTATAAATGTTATATTACTTTGATACCTAGAAAGGCCAATTATATAAAAAGAGGTGAGAAGAACATAAGAAAATCCAGGCAGAACAGATAAGATGATGCCAGGAACAGGGTCATACCCCAAGACCTGCCATATACCTGGATCAAGAGGTTTGAAAAAGCAGCACTGCCCATTTCCCACAAAAGGGGAACACAGTCAATTAGTCAATGTCCAAAAGGGAAAAATAATCCCTTGATCAGAATAAATAGAAAATATTCCTGCTATAGAGCTTAGAAGAAATTTTTTTCATGAGTCCCCTTAATAAATAATGGCTTCAACAACATCCTTCACTGACACAATGGATTCCTCTCCCTGAAGACTCATGGCCTCACGCTGTAGAACAATTCAGTGAAAGCTCTTCACTGAAAGACCAAAATGAAGGGGCCCAGCTACACGGCTCTCTGCAAGTCAGACCTAAGCCAGGTGTAGGTTTTCAGAATCTTAAGTATTATATAAACAAGTTTTCTCTCCTCTCTGAGTACCCATGAGCTGGAGGCTTTTAGCCCAGAACCGGTGAAATAGCTATTCTGAGTTGCTGGTTGAATTTGGAGCTCGAGTTTAAGAGCCAGCTGAGCCAGAAAGTGAATTAGTATTTCCTTTTGAATGATGAGGAGATTAACAGATACATGTGCTGAGACAGAAGATGAATCTGTTTCTCTATTAAGGTGAGGCATGGCAAGGTCAAGAAGCAAACCCCCATTCCAGGTTATAATGAGGACTGACTCCATCCCACCCCACTGTCCTTTAAAATACCTACAAATATGTAGTCAAAGCTGGAAACATGTGAGCACACCTGGCAACCAAACTATTGTGTGAATCCAAGAGGAATTTCCTCTGATTACAAGACACAAGAAGCTGAAATAAGAATCGTAATCAGTGGTTGATGCTGAATCATGTGTTGCTGCCTAAAAGATGCAAAGAAGCCTCAAAGAAGATAAAGTGGCTCATCCCTCCCAGGTGCCTGCTCCAGATGGTCTGTACTCACTCAGAAAATTGGTCAATCGTCCATTTCTATCTCCTGGGAGATGAAATGACATTAAGAAAAACTTCTATGGGCAGGAGAACAGCAGAGAGAATCTTGAAGAAATGTATGCTGAGGATTTTAGCTTTTCATGCCACCCCCGGATCCATTTGCAGCACCCCAGAGAGAGGAAGGGAGTGATAAGAGCACCTTGCTGGTTGGATGCATACAAACAAAACAGATGCCTCTTGTGTACCACTTCAAATATTCTCAGCCTAACCTCTTATGTCATCCATGGCCCTGGGGACAATTTGCAAGCATGTTTCTTCAGATTGCATACAGGGGACATCCGTGGTGTCTTTCCTCAGACAGGCTCTGCAGCTCTTGTTTCCTGTGCCACAATTTCTGGAACTATTCTCTGAGATACCCACAGGAACCCACTTAGCACTTGTGAGTGTGCTACCCAGAGATGCGGGGAAGTTAACAATGAAATCTTTGACTGATAGGAGCCTGGAGGCTGTGAACAAATGCTTCCTCCTTTCTTCCATCTGAAGGCAGTTCTTAAGTGTATTTCATGTGGCTTTTCAAATGGTCCCAGAACAAACAAACAGACCCTGTAAGAGTAGCCAACTCTACAATACATCTTGTAATACCTCTTTCTCACTCCTTCCCTGACTTACAACCCCTATTCTCATTGCTTTCTGGAATCATATTTCCAAATAAAATTTCGTTTAAGGTTTTGCTTTCAGGGGAACACTGGCTGGGAAACTGGGCTTCAGCTATGCACAATATCCTACCATCCAGCTGTTAAGCTGAGATGGGATTCTGCCAACACCCATAGAGGGCTGCCAGATGTCCAAAGAGG